GGGGGGGGGGGGGGGGGGGGGGGGGGGGGGGGGGGGGGGGGGGGGGAAAAGGGGGGGGGGGGGGGGGGGGGGGGAGAGAAGGAAAACAGAATGAGGGGGGGGGGATCCAAATCCGGAGCTTCTCCGGATGCAACGGGCGCTGACCATTCCCGGCTGCTGCGATCTCCATCCGATCTCCGTCTGTTCCCACTTTCTCTCTTTCTCTCTCTTTCCCTCCCTCTCTTCTCCTCCCCTTCTCTCCCCCTATTCCTCTCTCTCTCTTTCCCCTCCTCTCTCCCTCTTTTCCCTACCTCTCTTTTTCTCTCCCTTCCTCCCTCTCCCTTTCCCCCTTTCCTTCTCTCTCTTTCCCTCTCCCCCTCTCTCCCCCTCTTCCTCTCTCTTTCCCTCTCCCCCTTTCCCCCCTTTCTCCTTCTTTCCCACCTCTCTCTTATCCTCCCCCTCCCCTCCCCTTCTTTCCTTCTCTCTTTCCCTCTCCCTCTTTCTACCTCTCTTTGCTTCCTCCCTCTGCCCCTTTCCTTCTCTCCTTCTCCCTCTCTCCCCCTCTCCCCCTTTCCTTCTCTCCCTCCCCCTCTTCCTCTCTCTCTCTTTCCCTCTCCCCCTTTCTCCTTCTTTCCCACCTCTCTCTTCTCCTCCCCCTCTCCTTCCCTTCTTTCCTTCTCTCTTTCCCTCTCCCCCTTTCTACCTTTCTCTGCTTCCTCCCTCTGCCCCTTTCCTTCTCTCCTTCTCCCCCTCTCCCCCTTTTCTTCTCTCCCTCCCCCCTCTTCCTCTCTCTCTTTCCCTCTCCCGCTCTCCCCCTTTCTCCTTCTTTCCCACCTCTCTCTTATCCTCCCCTCCCCTTCCCTTCTTTCTTTCTCTCTTTCCCTCTCCCCCTTTCTACCTTTCTCTGCTTCCTCCCTCTGCCCCTTTCCTTCTCTCTCTCTCCCCCTCTTCCCCTTTTCTTCTCTCCCCCCTCTTCCTCTCTCTCTTTCCCTCTCCCGCTCTCCCCGTCTCCCCCCAACTCTCTCTCTTTCCCTCCCTCTGCCCCTCTCCCTCCCTCTCTTTCCTTCCACTAACCCACCCGCCGCCTCCCCTTCGCCCTCCCCTCCCTCTCTTTGGGGTTCACACAGCCTTTAGTTGGAATGAAAAGACCCCCCGCCCACCCACTCCCACTCCCCAGCTGCTTCCTTACCTGGTCGCTGGAGGTCCAAGCGCCAGACACAAAAGAGTGGGTGGGCGAGACGGAGACGGGCGGGCATCAAGCGGGCATCAGTCCGGATGGCAGGCGAGACCCCCTCCGGCTGGGTTCTGCCCGCCGCTCTCTTGCTCTGCTCTCCCCCTCCCTACTCCCCCACCCAAAGGCGGGTGCAGGGCTGGCCCTCACCCACCCCTCACCCGCCCCTCCCCTCCTCCCGGCCGGGTTGCACACGTCAGAAAGCCTGGGAGGCTGAGAGAGGGAGGGTGCCCAGCGCAGGGAGGGAGGGAGGGAGAGAAGGTGGCAGGGGGCGGGCGGGCAGAGGAGCG